GTACGTACGATGGCATTATTGTACTGAGTTAATTAAAAACTTTTTAGTATTGAATACTTGGTAAAAAAATTTTAGAAGTAGTGATAAAAGTAAATCACTGAGTGATAATGGCACTACGCTGGTTGATAGTGGGATTCCCATAAATGGTTATTTTAACACTACACAAGCCAACGCATCATGTAATAAGGTTATTTTCATAAAATTATTGTCTTATCAAGATTCTTTGTTTCTTTTATCACAGTTACCAAAAATATTAATATGCAAGATTTGTAAATATTAACAAATAAAAATTTTTGACTGAAGAACTTTCATTTTTTAATCTAACGGTTATACTTATTACTAAGTCTTACGGTTTAATCTTCAACAGTACTAAACTTTTGGCATTTTCAGATGACTGAAATGCAAAATTCTCCATCTGATAGACAAATTAAGGATTTTCAAAAACTTGCTGAGTCGCCATCAGCTTCAAAAAGAACTCAACCCTCAGTAAATGGTGAATATTAAGTGCAGCACTAGAAATGACGGAGGAGAAACTTTATAATTGGAAAAAGATTTGTAATTTGTTTTAATTAGCAGGAAGAGTTAATCGAAACAATGTGAAATCTTCAAATTTTAGAACTGATATCTCTTTCATTGTCAGTAGTTAGTGATATGAAAAAACCTGAATCTGCTAAACAAATCAGATTAAAAGTAACATGAACGTGGCTAAAGGCAAGTTGTCACCGCCATGACTCACTTTCTGCTTAATTATGCAAATTACAAAGAATCTGAACTCATTTGTATGCTTTTGTTTTAAATTCTTTATTAAATTAAATTCAAATTAAATTCAGTATTAATTCAAAATTTAGTTATCATATTTAATGACAATTGCACTTCACAGCGCCCTTGAATTGATGTGCCTAGCTTACCTGCTTATTGATAATTACCTTTTTAAGTTCATATTTCTTTTAAACTTACGAAAAATTAGTATGCAGTAATTTTTCATGTTTTAAGATTATAAATTTCCGTGGCGAGAGTCACCACGAGCTCATATCGCACCTGCAATCACCCCTCCTTCTTGTGGTCACGTTACGAGAATAGCCATTAGCAACAATGCTTCTCAATTACACACACCTGCTTCTCCTTCGCGTGAACTTTTACGCAACAATATCTCTACAAATACAAACTCTGTACGCTTTGCACACTTAATTAATTTTACTTATTGCTTGTATGAAATTTTAATAATTTATCTTCATAGTATTTCCTGCACTTCTTTTAAAGCAAAACTTGCATAAAATATACTTGTTAGTGAAGTCAGGAATTTTTTCGCCATTGTACTGTTGGATACAGAAATGAAATAAATTCTTATTCCAAATTTATTGAAAGAACAAAAGAATACAGTAGACAAAATAATATGCATAAAAACAAGTACTTTCCTAGTAAATTACGTCAACAAAAGTCGTCATTGATATGATCGTTTAATCGTATTTTATCCCGTAAAAATGAATTTATTAAAAATTGTATTACAGTATGGAATTTTGTGAAGAACTGTACAGTAAAATCATTAACAAAGGTTAGGATAAAGAGTTTAGCATATACAATAAAAATATTACTTTCTTTCTGTACATACTCTACCGAGACAATGCTTTCCTTTTTTTTAAATTTTTATTTATTTGAATTTTTTTAGCTTTTTAATTGTATAGTAAATGTTACTACAACTATCAATAAAATATTATTTTTACTGAATAAATTTCAGCTTAAAAGTAATATCAGTGGTAGCATTTGTGGTGTAGAAAATAGTGCAGCGGTACTGAAATCTTCTACTTCACGTCATCCATCTCAGATACCAAGAATATCTCCTGAAATTACATCTACTGCCAAATCTTCTGCTTCATCAATATCAGCTTCGTTACTACGACAAATATCCCCATCACCAAGCAAAGTATGCAGTCCATCATCGCTACCAATGGTTACTACATTTTCCGTATATCAAGAAAATCCACTTCCTGCTTCTAATATAACATCAGTAAATGAAATAGTTGACAACTCTACTGTAATTAATGGATCTACTCAGCAAACTATAACTACTGTTGCTAATGCAAGTGCTACTGCTGCTGGTCATTCTTATTCATCTACTACAAATAATCATCCAATTCCAGTTTCTACAAAATTTTCATCAGTTATACCAAGTACATGTTCATCAGCATCTTCAACAGTAATTGAAGGCAATACTTTCTCTTTAAATGATAATGGACGAATAGAAGAAACAAATTATAGTATGAAGGATACAAATGAGAAGGGTATTAAACGTATGGAAGAACATTCACGTATTCCTCGTATAAGATCAGTAAAAGCAACAACCGCAATGAAGAAATCTCATTTGCCATGCACATCAAATACTACTGATCTAGCAGATGCAACAACCACAGAATCTTGTAAAGTAAGCCATGATAATAAAGTAGCATTTCGATCTCGACTTCCAGTAAGAAGTAGTCGTAGTAGCGGGCTGAGCACATCAGGAACTGCCGAGAAGCATTCTTCTAGAATTTCTTCTTCAGATGAGGTTCGTTCGGGCTTTTGCATACTTAGCACACAAGATGGCATTTATCTGCTTCACTCTTAGTGCTAGTATCATAAGCATTCATGAACTTTGCTAAACTTTTGTAATAAAATTCATCGAAAATCAGGATTAGACGTATTTAGTAATGATTTCATTTTCAGAATGTCTTATATAATTAATTATATTTTAAAGTTCCACTTAATATAATAATAATAAGATAATCATCCTAATCATAATAAAATACATATATTTTCTCATAAATTATCATTACTGTATGCCACGAGACATATATATATACTTCACACAAATCATATATTATTTTTGAATTAAGACTTATTCTTCGATTGTATATATACTTCGAATATAATTTTAAACTTTTGCTGTTAGCCTTTTATTTGTAGAAATTATTACAAAGTCGAATTCCTGTAATGGCTAGCAGTATGCATCGAGCACATCCACAGACACATTTTACGGGCCAAATGTAACGTAAATTTTTCAGATATTTTATCACAAAACGTTTGTTTTACAAACAAAAATGAATAAATGATTATTGCTACAACACAAGCAAAACAAACCTTAATCTCATTTACTTTGTATTTTTGTTTATTTTAGGATCGTACCGACGGAAACTTCAAATATGCAAATTACTTCATCATCAACAAATAGCCGTGTAATCACTGATTTATGATTGATTATCCTTGTATTACTGTAAAAAACGAAAATAGTTTTTCTTATGTACAAAGCAATTTCAATCACAAATTTATCGCATTATCAAACATTACTTTATTTATCTCTTTAAATTTTAAGAAAGAGATTTTTACAGTCAGCACAAAAATTAGTCATTAGACTGATTGATTGCAAACAACAAATTTAACCTTAGAAATGTGATCGATTTGCCATTACTTTTTATTACTTATTACTTACTGTTAAATTTGGATTTATTCACGCACTATTTATAATTTTAATAACAACATTTATTCATATTTTTTTATTCCAACTGGTTAATTTGATTGTTAAATATATAATACACGTTGCACAAAATGCACAAAGTACCTATCCTCACATAAAATATCATCCTCCATATATCGAACTTTTTGTACATAAATGTTCACGTCAAACGGGTTTTTCCGTGAATTATTTTCACACTAATTTTTTAATAATTTATTGAGGTGATACCTTTAATAAAGTCAAAGCAGTCTGCTTTTTTTTCTAGAAAATCTTAAGAAGTGATTGGCATTTATTGCAATTTTAATGCTAAAGTAAGGCGAATTGTGTATGCTTTTGGGGTATGCTTGTAATAATTTAAACTTTTGTAGATATCGTATGCTAAATACTGTCAAGTAGTGCAACGTATTGTTTTCATCAAAAATAGCCATTCTAAATGTGCCCACAATTCTTGTCATATCCATTCTTCATGGAGCACAGATGTTAATGTCAAGGCCTATTTTTGTGTATATGATATTTTGTACATTTTTACTACCACTTACTGTTGGAAGTATTAGTAGAAATGTTTGATCAGTGTGCAAAACAAAATAGAAAATTTTGCAAAACGTAAAAGAGGGAAACATAGTAGAGTTTGATTGTTGTCAAAAAGTGATTGCACACGTCAACGAGTATTAATAAATTGTGAAAACTAGTTGTGAAAACTAAGAATAACGAATAATATTCATATCTCGTGGATAATAAATGAAATTGATTTGCATAAAAATAACTGCGAGGAATAAAAACAGTCAAGTTATGCATTTGAGCTTGGCAGATAAGCAAGCAGTGAAAAGCTGAGAGGTGGAAAAATTATGCAAATGTGTTACTATAAAAGATTTAGCAAGATGTATTTAGTTTGGCAGTAGAGATGTAATGCAGGAGATACAAGTATTCCTCCAGTTCTGTAAAGTTAGTAATTTTCAGCTTTCTAATTTTATTTTAGATTTCATATTAAGTACGCAATAATTTAAGATATAATGACTGCGAAATTTTCAAAAAAATTATGTGTATTTGATGAAAAAAATCAGATTGCTCTAAAATATGCAAATCTGATTAATTATTTCATATTTAAGATATGACTGAGCAGAAAGCTCTCAATAATGAGCATACTAGCAGCGACTTTATTCACGCTTACGTTCTTTTTATTTTTTTTGGTTATTAATAATAAAATTTGCTCCAAGTTTTTATAATAACACAGTTAAATTGATTACGCCATGATTATGGCAATGAGATTTGCGCACACAAATGAATTTTTAATGTCGAAAGATTAATTAGCATTAAGCATTCACTACAGAATGATTTATGTTATTAATGCTTACGAATTCATATTTAGCATAGATGTTGCTGAATTGCACAAGCATATCAATGAACAACAAATAACTTGAAAACAAAAAGGGTTCTTTTTTCAGAAAGTTCTTTAAATTAGAAATTATCCGAATTAATTTTTTAATTAATTATACCAAAATATTAATGACACTGACTTATCTATTGGTAATTTAAAGTGTGTTACAGATTAATAAACGCTTGAAAGTCGTCATTGTTAGGTATTTTGCTACTTCGTTTGTATATCTTGCAAAGGGAATAAATGTTTAATTTGCGTGATCAGTCCAAAACGAGCAAAATACGTAAGCACTGCAGAGAGTTTGAAAACAAATTTACTGCCCTGAAATGCTACAGTCAAAATTATATTAAAAAAACTTAATATGATAAGAAATAATATTTTAAGATTATTAAAAGTAAAAAGGATGAAATGAATGGGTTTATATTTATTTGCAGACAAGCCTTTCACTGTTCAACTATTTGCTTTAAAAATTACATTAATAATTACGAGAATGTTACAAATAATGATAATTATATTGGCATTATTACTTCTTCAGCCTCTATTATTCAACAAATTATATCAAAATATTTGGTAGTCAAAATAAATACAACAACAATACTAATTATAACTATTATATACAACAGTAATTATATTTAAAATATTAATAATAAGAATAAAAATAGTATTCTACATATGCACGTATAACATTGTTATTATTATTACTATAGCTATTATCATCATCATTACTATTATGACGATCATAATAAATACTATCAATTTCAAATAAATCCATTTAACAGAAGCAAAGTCGATTCATTGGCAATACTTATTGATTGGCACATGTATTACTTAAGAATGAATTATAAGCGAATTGCTTTGATTAAAAAATATTGAAAATTCTTCAAAAATAATCAATCAGTCGATAAATCAACCGGTCAATTTCGATGAATTAATTCTCTAGAATTTCCTTAATAACCAAAGAACTAAAACTTATTGCAATACAAGAAACAACTTTCAATGTCTCACTCTCTTCTTTTTCGTTATATTTTGCAAAAGTAACACAATTAGAGAAAAAGATGTAAACGGTTCAAAATCATTTGCAGCGATGCAATGATTACATGGAGGGCGGCACTCATAAACTTACCTGGCTGGAAGTCCCCCGTGATCAGGAAGGCGGGGGCTTCACAGTGAGGCTTGGCCATTGCACTTAGGGTCGGGGCTGACCTGTGTGGCTATCCCGAGTTGGGATCAGCCAACAGCATAATTTTTGCGTTTGGGGGTATAGCGTCCGCGCTGACCCCCGATGTTAAGAACTGACATAAATAAGCACCTAGGAAAGGGCAATTGGTCCGAAGTGGTCATCTAGTGTCATTGTTGCGTTAGATTTCTTGCTAGGTTAGATTGCGAGCAGTTGGCAGTCTGTGAATTACGTAGCAGATCGAGTGAAGGTCTTGCTCAATTGATTAAGGCAACATCACGTCATTAAGGTGGGTTAGAAGTGTAGGTAATGCCTTGAAAAACAGTCAGAAGGAATTTAAACAACAAACGAAACAAGTCGATAAATAGTCCGCTTCAACCATTGGCGAAGGTAATATATAATGCTGATACTTACACCCACATTCATCCGCAAGCGTATACATTGACTTTATTTGAATTTTTGCTTTAAATTTCGTAATTTCTTGGAACAGATCAACATTTGTGAACATACCGAAATGACAGTACATTGTTCTGATGTGTATTACTACTAATCAATCTTTTCACTTCAACAGATAGACAATGAAACATAGTAAGTAGTATGCAGAAGAATACTGCGAAAACTTCAAGTAACAACAATAAATTAAGGTCGAGAATTACAGTTAATGCCCAACTATCCACTCTAATCGCAACCAATAACGCATGCAAGTCGCTTGTACCCAATTTGCACTTCAGTCGCTATATAAACAAGTACCTTCTAATATTTTGGTTTGTAGCCAAATAGCAGCAGTAATTTATTTTGCAATCTAAGTACGAACCGGTGGTACTGAGGTCTGTAGCCAAATAGCAGCGATGTTTTCACTCTATTTCCACTTAGATATGTGCACGGCTATAGGTTAATTAATTGCACTGATGTGAATCTTGAGATATTTTGTGATCGGTTTTCAGGATTTTGCGTTTATTCAGTACGATTAATGTAAGATAGAACTTAAGACGGAAATCTTGCTTAAGATCCTAATTTATTGTTGTTACTTTGAGTTAACTTTTTAGACTTTTTATGCATAAATAGTAATTATTACTATTATGGCAGATGAGATTGTTTTGAAACTCTTATATATGCACTGATAATAAAATTCAAAGAATGCTGAAGGAAAAATCTGTTTCTAAGATGTATATTACATTGATTAGCTTGCTTCTTTTGGTTATGAACTACCTTGTTTTTCAAATCCATTGTTTTGTAATTCATTTTCTGTTCAAAAAATATACATTGTAGATATGACCACTGATCAACGAGTTGGGAAGGTTACTTTTAAGATCACGTTAACAAGTGATCCGAAATTACCCTATAAAGTGTGAGTTCTTTTTTTCATGGTATGAAAACAGGAAGCCAAAAGTCTTCTAGATTCGGTGCATTATAAAATAAAAATATTGCCAGATTTTATGAATATTAATTTTAATGCACTTTTTTCACTAAACGTTATTTTGCTGAGTGTATGGTAGTAGCTTGTTGTTATTAAAAAAGAGCATAAATGATAGAATCTGCTACAATTTGTTTTCAGTTTGTTAGCTCAGTAGCTGTTTGTTTCGGAAACGTAGTTATTTGTTTTTAATTTTGCTGACACAGCAAATATTGCAAAACGTCTTCTGAAAGAGATTAGGCTTTATGGGATTGAAAATCCCATAAACCTATTGAAAACCATGTAAAGCAGTGTTTTGGAGATTCCACATCATTATTTTTCAGCCTCAGCGTTCCTGAAACAACACCTTTCACCGCAGTCTTAAAGTTTGCTGCAGAAGAATTCAAAGTTCCATCTGCAACCAGTGCCATTATAACGAACGATGGTGTTGGTATAAATCCAGCACAGTCGGCGGGTAATATATTCCTGAAACATGGAAGTGAGCTAAGGTTAATACCTAGAGATCGAGTTGGATCATAATCGATGTATAATAATGTTTGGTTGGTTTACGCGGTATTTGGGTCTGTGATATATTGCACTAATAATAACACTCAGTTTTAATCTGCCTTTCCAAATTTGACATTTTGTAATGTTTTGACGTAATAACTTGAATGCATTTCATATCATATGAACTGCTTTTTTTGTGAATGGCACTTTTACGTTATATCCAAATGGTTTGGAAAAACATATTCACTATAGATTTGCTTGTTGCATAGTTTTGTTTTTGTGTGATCGACTCCTATTCTTTGCCATATAACTGATGAAATTATATAATAAATTGTTTTCTTGGGGTTCTTGCGAAATTTTATAAAAACTGTGACGTGTTATGTAATTTCACCTTCTGTTTGGACCGAACTAGAATAATCTTGGTGATTACATTATCATGATAATAGTGCAGGAGCTTTGTTAAATTGTGAGTATATTTGGTACTGCCCAAGACCAGCATGTAACATTTCTGCATTTCATATTCAACTTTAAATAACAACATGTCAATATTTAGCTAACAGCAAATATGTTATTCGTATATTATTTAATGCGTTCTGTACTCACATTTAAAGCAAACTTCTTGCTTATTTATTTCCTAGCATATAAGTATTTCGGAATTTTTTTGATTCTTAATCTAGATGATTCACAGTTTGGTCTTTTCTGTCATAATAAACTAATGAATTATGCATGCAATTTTATGATATCTGATAGAAATATCTAAATTTTGGGATCAGTACCTTCGTTATGTGACATGATGGGAAAAAACTTTTGACTGGTTCAAACATGTGACATGATTTGAAATGTAACTGAGACAATAAATAATAAGATAGCTGTTGCCAGAGCTAACCACCAAATCACGCGTTCCCATTTTTTTGTGCGAAAATTTCGTAAAACAGTAGTACCCATTAAAATTCCAGCTATGAAACCACCAATATGAGTAGCATGAGAAACCTGAAGTAAGATGTTTGCATATACTTAGTGTCAGTGCATTTTTGACTTAACCGGAGAAGTCTTAAATTGTTCGGACGTGACCTTGTATATTCCTTCTTCTTGAAAGTAATAATGACTGAAAATAACAAGCGATATGTCAATTGAGATCAGCACTGCTAAGCCAAAAGCTCTACAAAGTGCACATTCCATTTCAGACCAGTTGACAAGCAGTTCAGCTATGTGTGCTGCTAGTAAGGCATACACACCTCCAGATGCTCCAATTAAGTTAATTTTTGGGTCGAATATATGATGAAGCAGAGCACCTACAAATTCAGGTTTATTCTAAAGTATTCCTTCTTCCTTGGAACCAATACATGTGATAAAACAGAAGTATAATTGGTACATACCAGCTACAACACCTGACAAGTAAACTGTAGCAATTCTCCACGATTTATGAACCAATTCAAGCGGAATACCAAGAGTAATTTGTCCCAACAAGTTGAAAATTAAATGCATGATCCTAAAAATTAGCTTGTTAGCAAAAGTAAACTTAAAGAGGCTATTATTTTACAGTTGAATGAACTAATAATTGGAAATAGTTTTTTTTTACCCAAAATGGATAAGCATATAAGTGATATATCGCCAAACTTGTTCAGTTTTTGAAATATCAAACATTAGGACGGATTGTACTGTTAATGTACTGTTCGTTCCACTTTCAAATTCGACTTTTTCGTAGATATATACTACTACCTAAAGTAATCAAACAAGTTTCTTCTTGTAAAAATGAAAACAAGCTATATTTGCTAAAATTTTGTGTTTATATGAATATTTATCTGATGAGATTTTGATGTTTTTGAAGTTAATGAAAAATAATTGCTAGATATTTTTGTCATGAACAGATGACTGATTGATGATCAAAAGGTCAAATCAGCTAGTCTTAATTTAGAACATCAACTTACTTGTAAAATACATATGCCAAGCATGAAAAGAGGTGGTGGACAACAATTATATTGTTGCAAATAATTAAATGGTGCTGTTCGTTCACTTTTTGGTACTACCATTTGCGCTGCCCGAAACAAGACATGTCGCATTCGTAACTTTTTAGCTCTGCTCATCTACAATAATAAATTATCATATAGTCTTAGTCAATTACAAATTTGATTAAACCTTATCAGATATTATAATTGAAATTGTGAAAAGGGTATAGTTTTGTGAGAGATTTTTTACTTGTATTACGTATTACCCTATAAAACAAACTTTTTCTAAATCAGTTTTCTATCGATTAATTTTTAAACTAAAGAACAATCAACTGAATTTATATTTGAATTTGACAAATTAAAACGACTTAATGTAATTTAAAATAATACCAAAGTACAAAATTCAGCAAAGTCAACTAAGTGATCACGATTTTTGTCAACATTTTCCAATAGCTCGATTGCTTGTTCTTTTGTTAATCCAAATGAGGCTGCAGAACTATGAACAAATCGTTTCAAATCACTAGTAGGAATGTATCCGTCATAATTTGTGTCAAACTGAAGTTTTAATAGTTAATCTTAATAAATAAGAATACATCTAAGTAGTTAAAAAATACGTTGCGAATCTATGTGTTTTGCATCACTTTGCTATAATCATAATTTAATTAAAATTTTGATAAATAAACCAAACTTTAAATTAAATATGGAAGAAAATTACAAAAAAAAAGCAATATTTTTGTATCAAATAAAAATATTTCATATATGCAGAAAATATCAGTTATACAGAAGCGTGAGGTGATTCAGAAGTCACTTTTGTTCTTTCGATAATGAATGAGGCATCTCAGAAAATCTGCTGACTATTGCTTAATTTGCATTGAGAACTTTTATATGAATATTGAAATTATTTTTGTGGATTTACTTATAATCAAATTTGTAACAGAATTACTTACTTTGTGAAAAATACTTATCCACGGCTGATGATTCTCAGTTGGCAAGTGTTCATTTCTTGCTTCTTCAATATTCGCCATTACTTTTGACTTTTGCAGTGTTTAATACTTTTAATCTGTAAAAGTAGTCGTCATTCATTTATGCATGAAAATGACCAAAAATAGTGCTAATCATAGTTCGAATGCATTAGTATTTGTTGAAAAAAAAAGAATGAATGAAAATTTTGTATAGTATTATAATAGATAAAAAATATCTATTAAAATACGTAAAGGAAATGCATCTTCCATCGCTGTACAATATATTTATAAATATCAAAGTTATGCTTTTACTAAAAAGAAAAATGAATGAAATGTTTAATGAATTTATTTATAAACATTAATAAATAATTCCATTAATGCTAAAATTGTTTGTTTGAAAATATAAAAAATACACGCATACAAAATTATTATTATTATTCAAAATTTCGATCAAAATGTATCATTCAAAAACTTCATTTATGTTTCAATTTTTTATTCTATTTTTATAACAAAAATAAGTGATTTTGTGTTTTTATATAAAAAATTTGAAATTAAAAGATAAAAATTACAAAAAATTTTGCTAAATTTAAATTTTATCTTTCAAATTTTATAATATTTAATTTCAAGATTTAACGCTGCATGCTTATTTTAAAAGTCTTAATCCCTTTTTTATGATAAATAATTAAAATAAAATAAAAATAGCTAAAAAACAGAACAGTAATGCTTACAGTAAATTATTTATTGAAAGATTTATAAAAATACTTTAGCTGAGATCACGCAAACTATTGCAAATAAGCATTAATTTTTGCATGTGATATACAGAACACAAAAAATCGATGAATGCAACGAAATTATAGAATTCGAAATCAGAACGCAAGTGAGTTGGATTAGCTTTATTTATTTACCTGTGCGTTGCTGTTATGGTCGGAGGAGATGAAATTAGTCAGTCAGTAAGTAAGTAAGTAAGTAAGCAAGTAAGTCAGTCAGTCAGTCAGTCAGTCAGTCAGTCAGTCAGTCACATGTCTGTTACTAAGAGCGCTAATTGTTTGTCCTCTTTCTCTCTCTCTGAAACTACAAAATGCAAAAACGACTTCGCACTATTTTATAAAATAAAAAACAATCAATACTTACACAAAAATTTTTAAAAATTTATTTTGTATTTTGTTTGCAATTTAAACTGAAAAAGGAATTGTGCACTAATGCAACAAGTTATGTCTAAACTTTCTTACACAAAATTCTTAATTTATTATTTTACAAAATTAATAAAATTCAAGTAACGAAACAGTTCAACCATTCATTTGATCTTTCATTCTTCTGATCATTCATTCATCTGATCATCCATTCATTTGATCATTTATTCACTTATTCATTCATTTATTAATTAATTCATACCTGAGATAAATATAATTTTTAATTAAAAATATTTACGGAAGTGATATTTTCAAGGACGAAAGCGTTTCTTATATTTTTACTTCATCTATTTTTATGGACGCAATGTGTACTCCTTATAAAGTTATGCTCTACGAAAACAAATTAAAACTTAGAAATGAAAATGTAAAGCGTAAATTGTCATTTGACTATTTTAAATACAATTTAATACTCTAATATAATGAATTCTCGTATGGCGCTCAAAACAAAATGAAAAAGTATCGATTTTATTTCATTTTCAAACTTGTTACTAAGAAATTGAGCAATACAAAAACGTATGTCAAAGTAATTATTAAAAAATTATTGAGCCTGCAGGATAATACAGACGAAAATTTAAATGAAAAGACTTAACGTAGCAAACCTGGAAAGCATTTGAAAAAGGCACGCAAATTAATTTTCAAAACTATTACTGAAATAAACAAACTTACATAATTCATCTACTTCATTGTTGAATCGTTGTCATCACTGGGTGTATCGAATCATTACTGACTGATTTATAATATGCACAGTAATCATCACGTGACACTAAAATGTAGCAATCGTACAAAAAGGATATAATAGTAAATAAGACTCGATCAGTTGATCAAATATAGCAAGTTATCCACTCATGTCAGGTCACAGCAGCATATTTATCCCTTTATGATATACTATGATCCTTATATTACATTCTTTATTTTGCAATATTTGAATTATAATTGCTTTCAATTGCTACTTTTTCACCCAAATACGATATTTCCGATCAATCAATAACCATATTTGTAATTTAAATTTATTTCTTCACCAATTTGGAGTACAACAGCTTAAGAAGCTATATAGTAAATTACAGTACAACATTACAAGAAAAGAAATATTCTCTTTCCTTAGTTATCAGCACAAATTGAATATCATTAATATCATATGAGTTAACAAAATTATACTAACTTTTAAAAATGACAAAGTGAACAAATTAATAAATTAAATAGTTTGATATAAAAGTCAATTTTTAATCACGGAGCTGATAAAGTTCTTCGAGAGTTACGAACTGAAAAAGCTGCTCGTCGAATTTTAACATCTTGCTCATCAAAAATTTCTCCAACTACCTCAAATCAAAAAATTAAAAATATGAAACAAATTGCAATTATTATTACAACTTTAATAATTCGCATCTTATAATTAGGATATAACTTTGATAATTAGCATCTTATAATTAAGATATGCAAGAAGTGAAGTAAACAGTGAAGTCAAAAAATACGCCTCATTCAAAATAACATTACTTGTAATTATATCATAATATTAAAGTGTTGTTTGCTAGTCTGATATTGTTTTTTTGAAAATGAAATGCAGAAAAAATGAGCAGACAAATAAAGGAAACGAAAATAATAATAATATTATTATTATTATTACTATTACTATTATCACATTATTATTATTATCATTATTATTAAATAGTAATAATAGAATGACCTCTTCGACAAGATCTTCGAGTGTAACAAGACCTTGAACGATATAGTCTCGTTTTTGCTCATCAAAAATAACTACCAAAGCAATATGCACACCATTTCTCATTTCCATAAGCAATTGCAGGACTGGCATACTATCAACAATAAAACGAAATTGACTGCTACGTTGCCACAGTTGTGCTACTGTACCAACTTTGAGAAAATTTGTTTTACAAAATGGTAGCAAATCTTTCATATTCAACACTGCTGTCACCTTAACACATTCGTCTATTTGTTTGCATTAATTTGCAAATTTTGTAAATTTTATTACAATTTCCAAACGAATTTTATTATTTTAATAAAAATTTATTCAATAACAAATTAATTTTTGACTAAAATTGCAACAATTTAATTCTATAATTTCTTAAAAATACAAAACGATTATCGATAAATTGAAGTAAAATCTTGTTTTAAGAGATAAAAAAAGCAATAATTATGAATTATTTTAGAACAAACCATATTGCGATCACTTCCACTGTAAATTGGAATCCGAGTTCGACCTTTAGCAGCAATTGTTTTTAGCAAATTTTGATCAATGATACTTTGATCGGACAGCATGAATATCTTTTCAATTGGCGTCATTACTGATTTGACGACTTTTTCAGGCAGATCAAAAGCGGCTAAGACTAAATCTGTTGTTTCGCCATCCATATGATCAGATAAATTTCCTGAAAGTAATCATGAACAGATATAAATTGTAGAAACTATAACTAAGCATGTAAATAATTGTACACAGAGCTACAATGCAATGATTTTTTAATGAATGTGAAAAGTATAAAAACCTTTTGTTAAATCTCGTTGCATTGTAATTAGTGCACGTAACGCTTTACAGTCGTATACATCACGTCCTTCTTTACCGAGTAAGCAGTCAAGAACAATAGAAAATGGATAAGAAATTGGCGAAGAAAGTACCATAAAAAATATTGTCAAATAACGAGTTCGACTACCAATTGATAAAGCATGCCTGCAAATTTACAATTTGTTGTGACAATTATCACTCCAGAAGTAATTATTGATCTCAAGTAAGTTTTTTTTAGATAAAGTTATTATTTTTTGATTACAAAAATGATATTACTAATAATATTTATCACTGGGAAATAAGATTAATAAATACAGTGAAGTATTATTGATAACAATTTAAATTACACTTATTATACACTTTAATAATTGTAAATTTCCATATATATAAAAGCAGAAAATGCAATAGTACCGTGCGCACACAGCTTGAGGAACGATGTCACCGAACAAAGTTATTATAGCTGTTGGAATTATCAAAGATAATATCATCTACAAAGCATTGCATCAGTGGATCCCAGAAGAAATTTGTTACAAAAATTAGCACAAATTCAGCAGCTTTATAGTATTATTGTTCATGCTACTGTTGGCTCTAGTACGTATTACCAACTTCGATTGAATATTTTTAAGTCTCGAATCAATATTGCACTCGATGACAAGTAACTGATCATTTCCTTCAGATGCAAATAAAATGCACATACATTAATGTAAAATTCATCGACCATTTCACACATATCGCTGATAAGTAAAGTTACTGTTGTATTACAAACTGTATTTCCCAGCACAATCGAGCAGAGTAAGAAATTTCCACGTACTCGTAAAGGTAAAATATTAGAAGCGTATTCCCGTTCATTCTTATCATCGCTACCTTCTGCTATGAGCTATGCAAGTAGAACTCTGTTAATTTTTGCTAACAAAAAAATTAAAATAGCAATTAAATACTTCATAAAACTAAGAAATTTAATAACAAAACATATATAGTTTGCTGCAGAAAAAAGAACTAATATTCTAAAAGAATACATTTATGAGATAAAAGTTGAAAAATACAAATTACTGTAAACTTATTACCTTTAAATCATCAGTGCTTAATGCCATAAGACCAGTAGTAAGACCCGAAAATATAGCACTAAGGGTTGCAGAAATAACAATCATTATAATTTGAACATAAGTGGGAAACAATGAGACCGCTGATTCTTCCAGAATTATCTGTGTAAATTCCATATTTTGTATTCTAATATCAGGCAATAGTTCTGGAGGATCAACGCACAGCTGCATTGATCTCGTTATGTTTGATTTTAACTGCAAAATTAAACATAAAATGAAATCAAGTATTAAATTTTTACATAAAAATTTCTTGCTAAATTTTTCAATAAAATTTAGTTATGTAGCGTAGTTGTTTTAGCAGTCATGCATTATCACTAATTCAGGCATATGCCAGCAAATTATGTTCATTTTGTTATCAGTTAAGATCTGTATTTGATGATTAAAATGACTACGAAATTCACAAAGTTTTGTCTAATAATATTTGTTAATAGTCTGTTAAACTGATCATTTATTTCAATTTTATACTTATATTATACAGAATAGTTTGTAAAATATAATTCAGTACTGTATTATATTTAATATTACTGCAAAAATTAATGCTTACAGTATCAACAGAACACTGTAGAACGTTACTATCAATGTGTTTCATGATTTGTACATTCAAATATGCTGAATGATTTCTTTTTTCCGGCGAACAAGTTGGATCAGTGGAAAACCAAAACTGACTAACACTTGACAGATTGCTTCCAAAAACAACTAGCTGCTGTGCTTTCTCATTTCGAGCCAATCGAGTAACAAAGTTAAAATATTCGCCATCACTACAATTATTAAAGTTTGAAATAATCGAATAGTCAATATGTATTAGAAATTAAATGCCAAGTAAGTTAACACTTTTTTACTTTTTTAATGCATGAAAAACTTACAGTTCTCGTTCTATTCTCAGTCCATAAAAATGCGATTTTATGATAGAAATGTTGGAACTCTCGCCTGTAACATTACAAATAATGTCAAGTTTTGAAGTTTTTTCAGATAGTAAGCATGTCAAGTTTTTATCCAACAAGCAGTCACTTCGGTCAAAGGTTAATCATGAAAAGTCATTAAAATTTAGTTCAAGATTAAAGTTACACTTTAATAATATTTAATTACCAAAATAATAATTCAAGCATTTACTTTATATTAAATAAATCATATGCTTATATGAAAAATTAAGCAACAACTTTGTGTATATTTTTTAATTTGTTTATTTTATACCAAAAAATTATCAACTTTTTGTTTAATTTCTTTTTCTTTAATTCAAAACAAAAACTTCTATACCAAATGGGTTCCTGATTACATTTTCCAATCTATGATATCGTAAAATTTTTATCTATAAAATAAACACGCATATAGTAATTAAATTTTGAGGATCAAAAATATTGTAAACTTTGATCAACCTTCTAAATTAAACAACTGAATAAAATTTGTTATAAAAGTACGTTTGAAGTTTTTTTATTATTTTAGTAGAAGGAATGAATTTTTGATAGTAATTTAAAATCTCTCACATTAATACTGTACATAAGAAAATTACTTACATGTGCAAGAATTTCAAATGTACTGTATTTGTGTGAAAACAGTAAAAAATTGAAAATCAGAGCTAAGAGCCAAACTGTGAAAGCTTTGTAGTGCTTTAAAAATTATTGAGCTTGTGGTAAATTTTTTTTTAACTTACGCCTGAAGAAAAATTGGCAGCTTCTGATTTATTACCGTTAGTGCCAATGAAGTTAAACAAAGTTATTACATAATAGAGTTCACGTAAAACAACCATTTTTTTGCCTAACAAATGAAAATCGCGTAGTAACAACTCATTTTATAAGCAAAAATCCTGCTCGTAAATTTAAAAAACAAGAACAATTCCTTAATAGTATAAATTATTTAATAGCTCTTCAAAAAACTTCTAATAAAATATGCTGCAATAGTAATAGTAGTATTTTACTTTGCATCAATGAATGTCTTTTATACTACACATCAGAAAAAATTTGCATAAAGATTTTTAAACATTTCATGGTCTTATGCATAGCAAATGAGTCTTTACTTGCAAGTATTATATTGGATTGTGCCAAAATTGTTGAAAATAAACCGAAATTTTAAAAAAATTACAGAATTGTGTTAAAAATATTTACGATCCTATAAATTAGCAGCTTCGTTTTTACAGAGATTAACTATATTTTTTAAACCAAACATTTTATAAAGAATTGCTCATTACTTCAAAATATGAAGTCTATTTTTGATTTTCAAAAGTTTTTGATCACAAAAAATTATCGAGATTGGCTATTTTAGATGAGATATTCAAGGACTTGATTATTAAAATTAAACTTCTATTAATGAAGATCTCAGAATATTGAAACCTCAATCTAGCATTATTCCTAATAGTTCGTATTTGAGTTATAAAATTTGAACATCATTTCAAATTTTTGGACTTCACTATTTTCTTGAGTCCTAAAGCGAATGTTTGATTATGTTGGTGTTAAAACTTCGAGCGCTAAATCAAACTCTGTTTCATCATAATAGTGGTTTATTGTAGTAGTGAGTCGTGTTAGATTATTTAATTATTTGATAATATAAGTCATCTCGAGTCCATCGTTAATAATGCATCATATATGTACATGTTTGAATTAAATATATCATAATGCCATGTTTGAACTAACTCGCAAATATTTGCACGTGAACTTTGAACTAAAAAAAATCTTTTTTAGTTTGCAGGTTATGCTAGTCGAAATAATCACATCTTGATAACTTCCGCTCCAATAATAATTTTTCTGCTGATGAGATCCAGACTTCTTACTACTGAAACGAAGACCACCAACTAGATTATGGACAGATTTTTGAAGAAACATACGAAGCCTTCCCCAAATGCATCAGTGATTGGATCCTGCTTTGTTTAAGTCACTTATCTCACTGCTTTAATATGTTATAAATTATAAGAGAAAACCTCATTTATTTGTTGCTGTAGAATATTTTTGGGATCCAACTTTCTGCTCTTAATTGCTTTAATGCGTATTCTGCTTCTTTGTCACCAGTAGCCTTAGTAGAGAGATGACCTATATAACTACTCGTTGCAGCATCTTTTTTTCGTCCACATAAGCTTGTTGCTACTAATCTATTTCCCTAATTAATTTAATAAATGATTCATTGTCTTTTGCAGTGAATATATGTGGAGAATAAGTTGCTGTCATTGTTAAAAGGATTAATGAAATTTACATTTCATGATATAAGCATGAAAACGGTATTATCATGAAGCAACAAAGAGCTTTCATACTGTAGAATATTCGTGATGTTTTACAGTTTATATTTCATATCAAATATGATTTAAAAAACGGCGGGAATCGATCTTCTGCTCAAAGACATTGAAGCCCAACAGTTCTCTAAGTTCTCTCATTGTTTCTCGAGCCTTTTTTTCAGCTCTTTGAGTACCAAACATAAGGACATCATGGATCACCTGTGGCTTTTGTATTAGAGTTTCATACTTCTCTCGTACAGGAGCAATGTGCATATCAATTTTTTCTGCCAGCGCTGATTTGAATCCTTTTGTATCCAAATCTGAGCACTCATCAACTACTTCGTGAACACTCTTGCCTGTTGATAACGCATAAAGAGTGACCTGCAATGAATATTAAAAGTTATCGTCAGCAATAGAATCCTAACGACACAGTTTCTCAAGTTTTTCTTAGGATAATGGTTTTGAATAAGTTAAAAAACTAAACAAATGAACAACTCACAAGATTGCTCACTGCAGGGCGTTTTTCTGGTTCATAAGTAATATGGGAAACGAAATCACTCAAGGCTTTTGCACACTTGTTAGAAATTACTTGTCTTGAATCTGTGATCAGGATACGTGATCTGTCATTACCGACAGATTTACTCATTTTTTTTGTAGCATCATTCAAACTTTTCAACCGTGAGCATTTGGCATTCATCTGAAAGCATGTATAATTGAGTGCACAGTTGAGAGATTTTATCATAAACTTATTAAAGTATTCCTTCTTTTCAGATCTAAATATGTCATCTGAACGGAATTAATTTTTAAGAACAAAAAATATTTTTACGTTATCAAGTTTTCAGATGACTTATTCAAGAGCCGTTACGAACTGATTTAAAAAAAATTGAAATCAGTACAAGCATGACCTGAACTGGGATAGGAAAAAAATCATAATGAAGCACTGCATTGAATTTCGTAGCCAGATCTCTCATTAGAAGCAAATGCTGAGTCTGGTCATCGCCAACTGGTACATGGGTTCCTTTATACAGCAATACATCGGCTGCTTGAAGGACAGGATATAATTGAAGGTTTATAGGAATGTCACCTCGTTTAAAGCTGAAGCAAAACAACATAAGAAAACGGGTTTTTTCATGCCAAAACAAATGAGAGAAAAATTCACAAAGCTAAAAAGTTGAAATTATATATACGATCAGACCAATTATTATAATTGCAGAATTAACAAAGACTCACTGAATAAAAAGATTTTGGGATCATTTTAATTCTTCAGGAAAATAGTAAAGTGAAGTCACTGGATTATAGATAGTACTCTGAACTGTTTTATAGCAATTTTAAAGACTTATGTACAAATTCTGTTCCCAATTAGGAGTAAATTTGCATCTACATTAGTACATATTGTAAACAATACTTTGGTATCAACATACGACCTTAATCATGAAGCCTTTAAAAAATAAAACTAACGCCGCAGCTTTATCTTTATATTGTGGCATTCGAGTAAGTCGAGCTAGTGTTTGTAAGCTTCCAAGCACATACATTAAATTGACGTGGTCAGCAACTGTGCTTTGCTGGAACAAAACCGTTTTCTGCGGATCCACTCCACAAGCGAGTAGACTTGCTGCCATTTGTAAAAGGTTATTTTTCATCTAAAAGTAAGCTATACGAACAATACTTGATAATGCAACCAGTCCATTAATGACCATTAATAAACATTTTTAGGACCAAATAGCGTTATCACACCATGAATCATCACAACACTCTAGTAAACCAATGACTTCAAATAAAAATTCGTGATGATATAAGTGAGGAATGTACCAAAGTATTTCAAAACTGCAATGATCGAAAATCTATGCCAAAAATACGATAAGGATATGACAGTAAAATTCATTGACCTAACCTTTTTAATTTCGTATGTAATGGAAAGCATACAAATATGTAAAGACAATCATCACTAATTAAAAAAAGTTCCTTAAAATATAAGAGCAATAAATTAGTCTTGGCTTACAGTATTAGGAGTGACAAATCCTGTTGAAATTGAGTGGTAATCAGCTATTGAAAGATACATGTGTTTTGAATGTTCATTCTGTAATAAAATCATTTTTTATCCTCTATCAGTAACTTTTATCATCTAACTACAATTACAGCTACTTGTCAAATACTGTGAAAGTGATACGAAAAATTATAAAAATAAAAAGATAAAATTCGCCTAAATGATGACAAAGGCAAACATTTTCTGCCACATTTTTGCTTTAAAAACTTAGCATCTACAGGTTGTATATCACTAACATGAATAGATGAAGAGATGAGAAAATTTCGAGATACTTAAAAATAATTAGCAGTTTAGCTACGAGAACAATAAAAAAAACAATTTGAATGTATCCTGATGAAAATAGATTTAATAAAAGCATCGTACAGAAAAACCTACATTTTGCAGGTCAATCCAATGTTGAATGAAACCAAAGTAATTACCCAAATGCGGAATACCTGTAGGCTGTATACCACTAACATAAATTAATGAGAAATCGGCTTTTTCCAACTTTTTTGATATTGACAAATATCGAAAACCTTGCTGCTTTTCAGATAACCGTTTTGGCAAATTTCTCACAACTGTACGAACGATGCTCATTTCCTGCTGAAAACAAACCAAAAAAATGAAGCACGTCTTAAGCAACCTGGTCTTTCGAAAAGTGTTGAAAACAATGAGAGATGTAAAGTTAACTGATAAGTAGATAATACTAATATACAACATAAGAAAAAATACCAAGCTTAAAAAATACATTTCATATGCACAAAAATCATTATCGTGCTCTTTCTCATCATAACAATTAGGCGCTTACTATTTATGATAAAAAATGGTTCAGTGAAAGCTGATCTAAAGTGCAAAAAAGATCTCATAAATTACATCATGAAAATACTTCGTAACATGAGAAAAGATTTGACTTCTTTAAGAAATTTCATGAAAATGATTACTAGTTTATAAATTCAAAAGTGCTACGATTCGACTTCGATGGAATTGTTGACGACAATGTGGACAAAATGAAGACGAATTGCGTTGCAGGGAAGTATACTGTATATGCTTTAAAATACAATCCCAGCAAAACAAATGTCCGCACGGTGTACAGACTGGAGGTTTATTATACTGTGAACAAATTAAACAGCAGAATGAACTACTTGTAAGCTGCAAATAATTTTAGATCATTTAGTACTCGATTAAACTTATAATTGGCATCAAACAGACCGAATGAAATGATAGAGACAACAATAAATTCATATTCCTATGACTTTTTCTGTTTATACAAGAAATATCTACCAGACTGTTATCTTTTCTTGATATTTCTAAGCTTGACGGCTGGCAGGTATTAGTTCGTGCTTCTTTCCAAGTTATATTCTTCCACTCTTTTTTTATCCAAATTGTTGCATCCAAGATTATTTGTGCAACAATTATTGCTCCTAACAATCGAAAATAAGTGAAGGCCTAAAATTTCCTGACTGACTTGCTGCGTGATGCGTTTACTTTTCCAGCTTTTTTTGAAATTAAAAATACGTCCTTTCACAATAAACTAACAGCCCAATTCGCTTACAGAAACGAAACAGTATTAAGCAACCTCATTATTCAACTGAGGACATAATGAAATGTACTGCCAACCCACTAAACGCCTCGAGATGTGATAATAGGTACCATAAATATAAAACAACGCTTTGTTTAAGCGAAACAGTACTGGAATACCTCTCAACCTGAAAATGATTTCTTGGAACTTCCGTTTAGAACCGTTCACAGTTAAAACACATAAAATAGTAAGTAAATTCTTTAAAAGTAACCTTATAAAAGAAATTAATATATGCAAGGCTTTCAGATACTTTTTGTGCCTTCTTGCTAATTGAGCTTCACCACTGACTAATAATTTATCCAAGTTCTGCTCAATTTTTCCAAACAACTTTTCAGTCAAGAAAGGTACAACAGCATGGATCAAGACGAAAACTAAACGACATGTAAATGACGGTATTTTATAGTCTTTTGTGAGAACGAGCGGAACAATGGACACATATTCCTCACCAACTGTTTGTATTCCTATAAATTTATTTGCAGTAGAAAACTAACTAATTAAATGACAAAAATTCCCATTCTCAAGAATTCCCAGGATAAATTACATAACTGATAATAAAAAAGAGATTAGCCAAAAAAGAAAGAATAATATATAGTTCAATAAAAACTGAGACAAAACTATGGCGGAAATATCTTAAGTTTTTGAACTAAATATGAGAAGGGCTAGCGTCTTACTAAATTACACTTTTAAGCTGAACTCTTTTAAAAAATTACCTAACAACGTGGTAACAACGTAATATGCAACTTGCGCTACAATTGGGAAGTAGCCACTATATGAAATCCATAATTGCGGACCGAATAAATCCTGAAATATCTCATCTCATAGAAAAGCACGTGTTCTTAACATCCATCAAGAGCATGTGACGTTAAAGAGATAGATTTTCTTCATACAATACCCATAGAGAGATAAAGGAATTAAACATTAAGCAAGATACAAATCTTGACAAAAAATGATAAAAAACTATGACAGTCAATTTCCTTGCAGATCTACAATTATAAATAATATCGCTCTACTTTGAAAATTTGTGATAGCTCTTTTGCTATAAATTCAATTTCCTTCTTGTCACGACGCTCAGCAAGTAATATCTGGCTTAACTGTGCAGTGGTAGTTTTCATTTAGCATTTTTCAGTTGCAATAAAAACTTCTCTTGTTTTTAATCTTTTATGATTTTACACGATTCCACAGGTTCTCAGATCCTAAAATATTATGGATAATATAAAGAGCAGGTAAATAAGTTGACATAGCAAAAAAGTCACAATAAAATTTGGTTTAACCCATAACTAATCAGTACAAAAAATAAGTCATCTTTTTTATTTTAAATTTCAACAAGAGAATGTATTACAAAGAGAGACACTTCAAGGCATACACAACAGAACGAACAAGGCAAAATAAAATGTAAAGAAATAACAAATAATTTCAATAACAACGTAAGACTGAATTATTAGTAGAGTACCGGTTTTTCTTCCCCCATTACTAAACCTTAACTAAATATTTAGTAGCGAATCACAAAAGATTGTAAAGTTTTAAATACAGATAGGGAAAACAACGCACAATCATTTAAACCCGTTTTCTGACAGTTAAACTGCAAATAATACATAACGATGACACGAAGATGATTAGATGAAAATTACAGAAATTAATATTCAAAAGTTGGTATCAAGCAATTTTTTTCAGTATAACTGTATAAAACCGACATAGATATATAGTGCTTATCAAATAATGAATGTATGGAAAATATTTTGAAGCACCATGTATGTAATTAGTAGTTTTAAAAAGAATCTTCAAGTTGTTGCAGGTGCTTTATAAGCGCATAAAATAATTCATACCTCCTTTGTTTTGCAGTAGAGTTGTTTTTCTTTCTCCATTCAGGTCCTGTAAAAATAACTTTCATCATTCAGAAAATAATATTGAATTAAAAAGTTGTTGACTAAGTTACAGTCAAAAAAGAACTCAAATGGATTATACTACTTGATAGTAAAAAAACTGCAAAACAAAACAAAGTACCTCAAATTCACAAAACCATTCGTACCAAACGCCTTCTGGATCAATTTTTCGCTCAATATTGAGAAAAATCTAAAATAATTTAAGAAATAATCTTAGAAATAACTAGATTTACGCTGTAGAAAACTTTTTTATGATCAAACTAGCCAATTTTGTACCGAATTTCCCAATAATTTTCACAAAGTGCTAAAAAAAGGTCAAAATCCAATTAAAGTTTATTATAAACCCGACCTAAATCTTTGATAACGAGTTCAATCTCAATTTCTAACCAAAACTAAAATATTAAAGATTACTTCGGATCCTTTCCGCAAGCGACAAAGTTGACGGAGTGGTATAAGAGCTGAAAACCAACTGACTAAGCCTTTTGTGTGAGTCTGTGGCACTATACTCAACTGGCAGTCCCTATACAACTGAGCAACAAAGTAACCTGCGAATCCCATTAACTGAAATATAACTATAATATGTTCTGAAGCATATACCTCAAAATACCATCATTAATTATGCTGATCAAACTATATTGTTTCAACAATAACAGTTATTTCTTCTTTTAATTTTTTGGAAAAAATAGGCTTGACAAAAATCGTCAATAAATGAATATAATGATATTTTTGACGTATAATTAATATTGACTAAATATATAATATATCAGCTATTACAGTTATTAATTACATCTTTTGAAGACACAAATGCACAATAAATTAAAAAGTATTCAGAAAAATACACGAAAAAATCCTCACTTCTGACTGCATTTCAACCGTAAAATTCACGCTTGCTTTTCGCGCATTTGAATAATAATTAAAATTTGGATGTTTGAACGTGAAAAGAGGTTTCGGTTTGGCAAGCTCACAAACGGAACGCATACAAACAACATATATTTCGTCAAACTGCGAAGCCTCCGGCCAATCACTGGAAAAAATTTCAACTGATACAGAAGAATGACTTTCAAAAACCATTATCAATAACAGCAATCAATTATATTTATCACAGTGATAACAAAATATTACGCTTAAAACAAAAAAAAATTTATCTACACAAATCCTGATTAACAGTTCAGTTTTCAATCTTCAACAACAAAACTTATTTTTGGAATTCAGAGCTAATAAACACAGTTATAAAACGTTATGAAATTCAGATCTTATATCCAAACTGACCGAAAATCCTGGTTAAGAAAATTTTCTATAGAAAAAACTTGGTGCATTTCTTCTTTATATCAACTGCACAAATATGAAAGACTTCTTGAACACTTTTTCTGACTAGTGATTTCAGGCTGCAGGTTTTTATAAATGAAATTATTAAAAATAAAAGCCTACGGCAGAGCATAAGTTCCATCTTCTAATTTGACAGCTTCTAGACGTCCACGGCCTGGATAACCGCGTTCGAAATATCTTGCACCACCTGTAGCGCACAATATTTTTTGATGTAAACGAATGGACTGGATGGGAGCTAAAGATATGCTGATTAAAACAATTTCTGTAACATTCTGATACACTGAAAATTAAAAAAAAATACAGTTGAAGATCGACAAAATCAGTTAAACATTATATCGATTAGTGATTTATGATTTACTTGATTTCATAGAAAATGGATGCAGGAAAACCAAGGTTTGATTTTTATATAATCAGACAATTAATGAAATGACATTACTGGATCATATTTCTGAAAAATTGAACAATAATACAATAGGCTGTCGAAAAAACAACCATGAATTACTAATAGCGGAAGATTAAACAAGTGACGCAATACTGGTTATGCATGCTCCGCCAAATAGACAAAGGCAACTTTCTTTCCTTATAAATACAAAACCTCACCAACATAACTCGTATACTGTTCTGGAATGCTAATCGTTGTCGGGCGCAAAATATCTGTTATGCTGTCTAAGCACTCAGGAGATAATTCATTGTCACCAAATGAACCAAGCAATTCTGAAATAATCAAATCCGGAGGTGGTAGATCGCCAGCTTTCACCTTAGCACTCAAATTCCGCATATCGCATTCAACGATTTTCACTCGATTTTTCCACCTGAAAATTGCATCAAGACTTTCAAAAATTATGTTTTTACTGAATTCGAGCGCTTTAATGGAATAAAGTAATTCTAACATAGTTTCTGTATTATTAGAAACAGGAGAATGGAATGCATTGAAAATGAGTACACAATTAAATATTAGCAGCAGTCTTTCTTAGATAGTTAAGAACAAATAACCAATTATTGCATATGAAATCAAAAACAAAAAGCACACAATATACTAAATATTCATAAATTCTTTATAAACAAATTTATTCAATCCTGGGCAAGCAGGAATAATAATACGCATAGAATGAATGCATTGAAACGACAACATAAATTTGCTGGTTACGCATGAGAAAGTTGCTAAAATTCCTATCTTTAAAGTTTAAACTCACTGATATTTATTTCTAAATTGTAAAGTGATGACAGCATGTGAATTTTTTTCAATTGAATAAAGTTCAAGGTTTAGTATATCCAGACGATTGCATCTTTTTGCATTATACAATTCTTCGGCTTCAATAATCACTTGCATCTGTTAATGAAACCCGGTAATAATCAACAGCCAACAATTCCAAATACACGACTTTTAGGACGTCTCATAGATATCGAAACAAATAACTTAAAGAAATATTACAGTTCTGTAAAAAATATGATGCAAAAAAATAAGAAAACTTGCCAGAGGTCCTCTTCCAGCTCCTAAGAGATAGACAACAATATTCCGCTCATCCCCTACTATTTTTACAGCATCCTGGATAGCATAACAAATTGCTTCTCGATATAAGTCATATTTCACAGTATCCTCTTCAAAAATTGCATAAGTGCCAGAATCAAGATTATCTGCTAACGGTTGTAAAGGCATCTTAAACAAAAATGAAGGCAATGTGGAAATTTAAATTTCAATGAAATTTATTTGAGATACAATCTAAAATATTCAGATAATCAAAAGAAATTCTGATAGTCCTTTCCTTATTTGGACCTATGAATGAAAAAAAACAGTACCTGCAAAGTATCTATATACTCTCTGTGCCCTAGATATTCAAACAGAATTCGGTCGTCTCCACCAGCAAGAGCGATTTCTTTCGACCAAATCGCCTTTTTTTGCATTAATTGTTTAATGACTTTTGCATACTGCAAACGAAGATGTTCCTCAACCACCTCAAGACTAGTGGGACAAATAAGTGGTCGCTGTACAACTGATACGAATAAATCCATAAGTAAGCGATTATGTGCTCTAGAAATAAGTTAGCACTTTTTGCATTAGTGATTGTTGTGATGGTGAAACAAATACTTGAACTTAATATTGACAATTTGACAAAGACAACACATTACTTTTGTGTCAATTTTACGAAAATAACGTTTATTTATCAATTTTATTTGCCACTGCCACTATACCAATGAATAAGATACTATCAACATTTTCTTCAGAAATACAAATGTTAGACTTATACCAATAATAATTAATAATGTTGAAAAATTAAACGAAATAAAAGAAACATACGGTGACAACGTGCATTCTCCTTGTCGTCCACTGGATGTGAAAATAGATGTTTCAATACAAAATGAACAGAGCGGTTCAGCATGCCAACGCTTATAAAGCCGCGATTCTAAGAATTCATCAGCTAAATTTGGACACAGTCTTAATCCAACAGCTAACTTTTGCATTGGATAATTAGTGCAAAGATTTCGAAAATCAGCCCACAATCCCCAAATATCGCGTTTGTCCTGCGATTTGTCTAATACCGGCAGACAATTTTCATCCGTTGGTAAAAATACCCAAACACTACAATATTTATTTACAACAAAGTTGTACTTAGAAACAAAAAAAGCATGTAACTAAAAAATTTGTTTTCAAAAAAGATTAAAAGTAGTTTGAAAGATTGCACAATGAAGTCTCAATCTATGTGATGCACTGTTGCGGTAAGCACCATTAAACACTATAAACAAAACAAACTGAATTTTATTTTCTGTCATTAATTAAAACCTGTAAGTCATATTTCGTGTCCACATCCATTTTGTTAATATTTCAGCTAGCTTTGGGGAGTCGCGGTGCTTGAGTTCCAAAGTTAATACACGTAATGGCATATAAGTCATATAATCAAGCTCCTAAATTCATGACTACAGTATGTGATTATGTTCTATCAACGATTTGATACAGCAATCTAAGGTAATGACAGAAAATGAAATTGGGAAGGAAAGTTATAACTACTTCAAGCAAACAAAATAATGAGTCCAAGGAAAAATCAAAGTTATTTCTCAACCTTCTCAATTTCAATACATGAGAGATCAGCCAACCAATTTTCCTTCGCGTCACAATCTATCCAATCCGATAGACGTCCTATAACATAAGTTCCCCATAATTTGACATCAAGCTGCAGATCCGGTAAGTTAATCGGTGGTGGAATAACATCCCTAGAAATCTACTGAATTGCAAGCGCACTTTTAATCAAGAAATGATATTACGTTATGTTCTATTTCAATTTCTGTTCTTCTTCACAATCTCTTCTCAAAAATCAGTCATGTTCTCAACAAACTGTGATTTCCATATAACCACATTTCAGATTTTAAAATATGGAAATATACATTACTTAGCGAGACCCCTTGTAATCTTAATTACTGTTTATTCTACCTCATCATTGCATGAAAAATGATCTACATATATGCTGAGCAAATAAGCCATTACGCAACTACTAACTGTCAAAAACAAGTAAGTAGATAAAAACACTAACTTCTCAGGTCGCCATGAGGACCTCTTCATGCCCCCGACTGGATAATTGATAAAATTGTAACTTTTTGCTCCAAGCTGTGAACAATACTGCACAATATCAGTATCATGAATACCATCGCTATACGTTGCCATCCACCCAACAATTGCAGAAAATTCAGTACCAGACGAATGCCCTGCTTGATTATCTTCCTGACACATCTGGACAGCCGCGATCTGCTTACAGACCTACACACCAACTTCGATAACACTATGAAAAACTCCCTTTACATATATTTCAACTTGCAGACCCGAACTTCTACACAATCGTCCCCAACAAGATAACGATCAAGCACACGATGCCTGACTACTGCCGCCTAGCTCATATTGTCCACTAAGTAGCTGAATTAGGTTTGTTTCTAAGTCTGCCGTCTTTGGATTGGTCTTCAGTAACTACCACACTTGATTTGAGGAAATACACTTCCACCAGACATTCACCAACTTACTTGACGTGAAATTTGTCAGAAATCTACTTCAATGGGATTATCCAGATTTCAGAACCGACATTACTTATCCCATGATATGTAATTTAAGGAACTCGCGTATACTGCACACCTTGAGCATACTCAAATTAAGCACTAATTTAAATAATTTATTTCCTATGAACGATTGAAGAAAGGAATATTATATAAAAAATTAATCTGCACTTTCGATTTCACAACTCATAGGCTTAAGATCTAAAACAAATAGTGCAAAACTATAGTGAAACAATTTACTACAAACATCAAAGAGGTTTTTCGTACAAATATAGACAGTGGTGAAATCCAAAATGCACATTTCCTAAGTTATATAACAATCTAATATCTCATGGTTTTGCAAAGAGAAATAAACACACCCACTTCCTAAAATAACAAACAACTCAATGCAATTATTAGAAGAATTGATATTTTATGTATTCTTTTTGGCCAATTCTTCAGCTTTTGCGACTACATCATTTATTCCACCCTGCATGTAAAATGCTACTTCTGGCAAATGATCCATTTCACCTGAAATCACATGATTATTCTCAGCTTCCATATCAGGATCTTTAGCTTCAACAAACTGTAGAATAAAAAACTGCCCAATTGATTAATACTACTGAAAATACCAGGGACAATTTAAAGCAAACCCGAAATGAGGCTTTCCGTTCCCTCTCAAAACAAAATGACTACCAACAATATTTTAAACAGAAATAATTTTTCAAAAAGCACCATGGAAAACTTACCTTTTAAAATAAGCTCAAAGCCTCTGATAGTCTCTTCAAGTGTTACAAACTTCCCTGCATGACCAGTGAAAACTTCAGCAACCTGGAATGGCTGAGACAAAAACCTTTGGATTTTACGCGCTCTAGATACTATTAATTTATCTTCTTCCGATAATTCATCCATACCAAGGATAGCAATGATATCTTGTAACGATTTGTAATCCTAAAATTGAATACTTTCACTTTATACAAGAAAAAATAGCTTTGATAAGAAACAACAATGGTAGCATATGAAATTTTATATTTGACTTTATCATTTAAAAGTAAAATCAGACATTATTTGAGTGAATGAAATTTTTAAAAGGTTTCAAAAGTGAGAATTGAGAAATTGTCGATTAATTGATAGGAGCTGGAATTCTATCACACTTAATGCCAATTCAGCAAATTATTCGTGCTTAAAAAAAATGAAAACTATTAATTTCATTAGCTTCCTGCGTGATTTAGTGAATAACAAGATCGATCAAAAGTTACTTGCAATATTTTTTGAACACCGCGAGCAATATCGTAATGCTTCTGACCCACAATATTAGGGTCCATGATTCGGGATGTTGAATCAAGGGGGTCTACTGCTGGATAAATAGCCAGTTCTGCTATACCTCGGGAAAGTACAGTTGTAGCGTCCAAGTGAGCAAATGTAGTTGCTGGCGCAGGGTCTGTGAGATCATCAGCAGGCACATAGATGGCTTGTACAGATGTAATTGAGCCCTAAATGTTTAGAGATTTTTGATCAAAAATTTTTTGAAACAGATTTGCAGCTCCATACAGTATACACAATTCACACAAGATTTAGACCGAACAGATTATTTAACAATTTAAAGCTTCCATTCACTACTCTTCGTGAATAACTTAATGTTTACTTCCTTTTGTAAATAACTTGGAGTTAAGTTCAACATAAATATAGTGAGATAAAACACAAACCTTTTTAGTAGTAGTAATTCGCTCCTGCATGCCACCCATGTCTGTAGCCAAAGTAGGTTGGTAACCTACAGCAGATGGGATGCGACCAAGCAACGCTGATACCTCTGAACCAGCTTGCGTAAATCGAAAAATATTGTCAATGAAGAGTAACACATCTTGACCTTCTTGATCACGGAAATATTCAGCAACCGTCAAACCAGTCAAACAAACCCGCGCTCGTGCTCCTGGTGGTTCATTCATTTGGCCATAAACCAGAGACACCTACAAAAATGCTTTGTTTTGAAATAGATAATGAACTACTAATTTATGAGAAAGAAGATTTTATAAAGCGTATAAATGAAGCAGAAAATTTAAGAGCATCTCATGACAAGCAAGCTTCAATGAGAACTTGAATCCGTAAGTATCTAAAATTTTTTTATCCATCTTTAGATCCTATTAATAAAATCGGCGCAGCACCATTAGGAGTAATTTTGTAGCGTATCCCTCAACTACAATTTAAAATATTGCAAAACCAACTGACTTTTGAGTTTTTTCCTTTCAAATCGATAACACCACCTTCAATCATCTCATGATATAAGTCGTTACCTTCTCGAGTACGTTCACCCACACCAGCAAATACTGAATAACCCCCATGCGCTTTAGCGACATTATTAATCAACTCCATAATCAAAACCGTTTTACCAACTCCAGCTCCACCAAATAATCCTTAA